GAGGCCATGCTGGTAAATGACACATCCAACTTATTAGTGTGTGCTTTAAAATGACACGTTCATGACTGGTCATAAGTAACTGTCTGAGGCTCAGAAACAGGCTGGGAATAATTATGTTATCTGGCATCCTGCAAGAACAGCAACAACATACCAGGCTGTGCTTAGCTAAAGAAGTAAAGGAAGTAATGCCATACTAAATTCCCAAATAAAAGGTAAATATATTACTGGCAATTTTCTGAGAAAATGTCATCAGTACTGACATTCACTTGCAGTGTGTGCAGGAGAGCTCCTAGACCAGCAGGCTCCAGTCTCTAGATGTCACTTTAATAAAAATATTTAATTAAAACTACTATATTGTCTTGTAGGAAATAGAAATGGAGGATATTTTTTCCTAGTACTGACCCCATCCATAATTGTGTACACTGCCAATTAATTCAAAACAGAGGGCATAAAGCTGTGGTTAGAGGGGGAAAAAAGAGCCTAAAAATAAGTATTAAAAGCCAACATTCTTATTCTGATCCTTACTTCTAACAAGGAAGTTCCTTAATTTCATCTGAAATGTTTAATACATAAAGGATATAACTGGGGTTTTTTTTGCTTGCATATTACAGTTACAGAGCATCATTGCTGAGAAAAGCAATTTCTTCAATTCAAGGTTCTCATTAAAGTGCTTCATGTAATCACAGTGATTATGACTCCTGTCTTGCCTCACTCACATTTCTTGACATCTAATCTTCCAGAAGCAATAAAGGCCAAATATTAACCACTCTGCCATTTCCTCCTTTCCTCTCTTCACATTATCACTGTTCAACATGGGGGGCTGTGTGTGTGTTGGGGTGTGGGAGGGTGTGTGTTTCTCCCTTCTGTTAAAAACATCCCTGTTCCTCATAGCCAAACGATCCTGTTGGAAGCCTGCGAGGTCTGATAAACTGTCACCTCCGATGCCACCTTGTGGCAAAAATCCCTGAAATACTGTGTCTTTTGTCCCTCGGGTGCCCTGATCTGCAGCACAGGGGTGACCTCTGCCAGCAGCCCTTCAGTTTTACACTTCAGAGCAGCAGGATTTTGGCGCTCCTTGAAAATGAGCCAGGGAAAAGAGAGAAGGGAAACCAGGGGAAAAAAAAAGCAGCTCAAAAATGCAGCCAATTCCTTCCACGGAGTGAAAAATAAAGCAGTACATCAAAGGACACACAGCACAACTGTTCGTGTGCTCAGAGCCCGTGCATTTATTTATTTCCTCCCCCCCTGCAAGAAGGGCAACTTTTTCCAGGTGTGTAACTGCAAATTAGTGCTGCAGGTAGAGCAGAAAAGCATTTATGCCAATTGCCTCACACTGGCCTCACCCTGCTCAGTTTCTAGCCACAGAAAATTCTCCTGAAGGAGGCCAGGCCTGTCTGTTCTCCAGGGCTCTCCTGAGGCCATTTAGGGCCTGCTATGAAAGCCAACATTGCAGCATGAGGACGGTGCCTATTTTTAGCACTACTTCCACCAGAGAAGCCCAAGAATCATCACCTGCCTCCTCCTCCTGGCACTCTCTCAAATGCCCTCCCAGCAAGCACGTGGGAGAGGCAGAATTAACCCACACACCTGCCTCTTGCACAGCCAGGTACCCAGGGACAGGGGGTAAAAAAAAACACTCTAAAAGCCTTCAGTCAGGCTGAGGGCAGCATCAGCTGCCAGGACCCCCCCCAAGCTTTGTCTCTTGGCCATCAGGCTGGCAGGTTCTCTCCCTGGCCTTCTACCCCTCCTCTTCTTCTTCCTCTCCTCACCTTAGTGCCCCTCACCCTCTCCTTCTCACCTCACCACCCCACTCCTACTCCTTGCCTCACCACCCACCTCCCTCTCCTCTCTCCTCCTCACCATGCATCTCCCTTTCCCCTCCTCAAAACCCATCTCCCTCTCCTTTCACCTCCTGACCACCCACATCCCTCTCCTCTCCCCTCCACACCTCACTGCCCCTCTCCTCACCTCCTGGTTCCTCTCCCCTCTCTTCACTGCTCCTTTCCTTCTCCTCCCTCTGCTCTCCCCTCTCTCCTCCTTTCCTTTCCTTTCCTCTCCCCTCTTCTCCTCTCCTCCCCCATCTCCTCTCCCATCTGCTCTCCTCTTCTCTCCCATCTCCTTTCCCTCTCACTTTCTCCTCTCTCCTCCATCCTTCCTCTTCTCCTCTCTTATCTCCTTTCCTCTCACCTCTCCTCACAATCTCCTCTCCTCCTCTCATCTTCTCTTTCTCCCTCCTCTCTTCCTCTCCCCCTCTCTCCTCTATCCTTCCTCTCCTCTCTCCTCTCCCATCTCCTCTCCCATCCTCCCCTCTCCCATCTCCCCTCTCCTCTCCCTTTCTCTCCCCTCTCCTCTTCCTTTCTCTCCCCTCTCCTCTCCCTTTCTCTCCCCTCTCCTCTCTCTTTCTCTCCCCTCCCCTCTCCCTTTCTCTCCCCTCTCCCATGTCCCCTCTTCTCTCCTGTCCTTTTCTCTTCTCTCCCCTCTCCCTTTCTCTCCCCTCTCCC